TCCCATCTCTGCACCTTTTTTGTTCATATCACGCTACAGTTGCACGCATCACACAGTAATGATTTATTTACAGCCTGTGAGCCTTAAAAGCCAGAAGCACATCAATGGTAGAATAGGCCTTCAAGAAATGTTTTCAGCGTGAGTCAGGGAGCGCCTTCCAAGTTGCAGAGAGCAGCCAGCTAGTCTCTCTCACTGTTGTAAGTTACAGGATTTTAAACTAGCACAGCTGGATGCAGCAGATGTAGACATCACGCATCATCCAGCTCTGCAGGAGAGTAGCCCTCTGCTGGCTACTGGAGGGTACTGCAAGATAGAAAATCCTGAAGTGTGTACTTGCACACATCAAGGAACAGATGAGCAAAATGAATAATGAGTAACCTTTCTTACTCCAGGTTAGTGCTATACTTTCCCCTCTCCCCAGCTCTTATGATTCTAATTTATAATACATGGTTATATACCAAGATTGTGCAGATGCATTTTTACAGTTAATCTCTTAGTATTTCTACATTATAAATTTGACACTCCCTTAATATCAAATTATATCCACTTCTTGGGCAAAAACCTCATTGGCTAACCTACTGAACGCCTTTAGAGTATCCTGAAGATCTGTCTGGGACTGATAGAAAATTCAGATAATTGGGAAACTGGACCTACCAGATATTAAAACAAAATATAAAGCCAAAATACATAAATCACTTTGTACCAGCACAAGAATAGTTATAATAGATCTAAAAGTTATACTAGATCTAACTGACCACAGAGAGTCAAACCATAGAAAAGCTAAAGTTAGAAAAAAGAATATTTATCAAACAACTAGAAGGAAGCCAATTTTTTGAACTGAGACATGATAGAAAAAAATCACAAAAGGTATTGACTTTTTTGACCTATTGACCAATTTGACTTAGAACTTATGTACTTCGAAAAATAAATAAGAAGTCAATAGATAGATGGGACATATGCGGGAAATACAATGGAAGATTAATAGTGTTGCTCTACAAGCAGCAGTAGTGGTGGTTGCAGTAAGATTAATAGTTGTAACAGTTAACATAGGTTGAGCACTGAGTATTACTATTCAAAGATTAGACAGCTAGGTTGATGATTATAATGCAATGCACACAACAACATATGAGGAGGGTAGCATTCTTGTTATCCCCATTTTGCAGATGTGGAGACTGAGACATAGAGGTTTTAGGTAATTT